TTCAAGACTATTATAATACTTTTGGGCCAGAAAAAATTCCTGTGACCACCTTCTCTTATTGGAATCTCATTAAAGATTTGATAGATAAAAAGGAAGTCGATCCACAAGTCATGGCCGCGGTCGCTCAAACAGAACATATTCTAAAGGTTAGTTCCCGCTCTAACCTCATAAAGCCTCCGCAAGATACGGAGGAGGATCTCATTTCCCTTGAGAGCGATGATGAGGAAGTTAAGTCTCCTTCCGTAACAGATAAAGAAATGTTACACAAAAACAAACAGAAAAAATATCCGGTTTTACAAACACCTCAAAAAGAGGAAGAAACTAGTAAGTCTGATCAATCAGACATAAATTGGGATGATTTAGAGGAAGAGGCGGCTAAATATCATAAGCCCGACTGGCCTCTCATTTTACCTCCACGCCCACCCCCATATAATGGGACGCGTAATGGGGCTTCTGCGCCCATTGTTATGGCAGTAGTATATCCCGAAGAATTAAAACAAAAAATTGCTCAACTAGAAGAACAAATTAAACTTGAGGAGTTGCATCAATCATTGATAATTAGGCTCTAAAAATTAAAAACAGGAAATGAAAAGATACCTAACCCAGATGTTATGGAGGGTTCCCTGCGCCCACCTCAGCGGCCTGGACAGCATGTTCCAAGAAACGAGGCACGAACAGGGAAGGGATCTGTTTTGCGGCTCCTACAGGTAAAGATGATGTTTTTTATTGCTAACAAATCCGGTGATCGTCAGAGAATAAAATAAAAGACGTTACAAGAAAGAGCTAGGAAAAACCGCAGAAAAGACCTGGCGCCATTCGCTTTGGCACTGGCAACTCGGACGGACTTCTCCCATTATGCTCCTACCATTTTTGGGTCCTTCTGTACCGCTTCTACTCTTCTCTCAGCTCTCTTGGGCCTAATAAATCCTTAATAAGCTTATGCATTCATCAGACGACAAATCGAGGCCTTCCAGGCCAAGCCTTATACAGGTCCATTATCATCGCCTTGAGATGTCTGGACACGTGGTGGAGTCTTAATCTGCGCCTTATAAGACCACCTCCCCTGTGAGCTGAACTGGACGTCAATGAGCAAGGTAAAGGGACAACACACCCCAATTGAGCCTAAGACAGAATGGGCCGCGCTTGCTGCTGCCTAATCCATGAACGGGCTTAAAAGGTGGGGATGAGTTGACCCACAACCTAAGACAGGCGCCGTTCCCCCGAGAGGGCTATCCTCTCATCATGAACATAATAAAAAAAGCGGGGACCCTGTCCGGAGCTGCGTGGCCCGCGGCCATAGCGATTATAACTGACGACTGAGCCTGAGCTCTATACGCTTCCATCTCATACCTCCCTGCTAGATTTGACCTTCAT